CTAATTGGATCTTTATGTGACTACATGGATCATTTATTACATCCTTGTACTGTGAGTCATGTTTATAAGACATGCTGCACTTTCTGTCTCTGTACATATCCCAACAATCGTGTGTGTGTTTCCGCCTACTCAAACACAACATGTCAGTGCAGGGAGCCTGCTCCTTCATGCCAGGCATACAGTCTATTGTAGGGAATATTTACTGATAAGTCTAGTGCGGCATTTACTTTTACATTGAGAACATTCTGTGTTAGAAATTGTTGACAGTTCAAATTAGGAAACAGTGTTTTGTGTCAATAGGTACAGGTTAGCCTGAGATATATTGATTATGAAAATTTCATCTGAATCTTACAGAAATTTGAGTCTGGCAGTGTTTTAGTGAATACAGATATATTTTTAATGTTAACGGGTTCACATTATCTGTAGACGAAACCTGTTTGCTGATGTGATTCACATAACACCTGTCCATTAAGTAAATAAAGGAAGGGACCACTCTTTGTGGACTTCATCGTCAGCAGGTACTTGTGGACAATGGTTTCAGGGGAGAGGATTTGGAAGTGACCTAGACAAGGATGTAGATCTAGAAACTGATTTATTATCATAAAGAGGTTTTAGTGTTATCAATTATTTGTTCTTCCTAATTCATCGGGATGGGGGATTTCTCATCTTCTGATGGCTGTTCTCTGATTGGACTCAAGGACTTCCAGGGCTGATTTGGTCCCTGCTACTACATGCTTGTAAGGGTGGACTTTGAGGTGATCCACATGTGTTCAAGTGTTTCTCATCTCCATCATTAACCAGCAATAGACAGGGTGTGCATAAATTACAAATAAATATAAAACTTTTAAAAGGTTTTTCACTAATTGTGTTACTTATTTTATTAAATCTAAAATTCGGATTACTTAGTAATATGCTTCAAAATTAATTTTTGATGTAGATTGGGTCGCAGTGCATCATAAACAAATTATCCATAAATGTAAATGAAGAAAGATTAAGCTGTCTGTGATTTGATGTGTTTGTTGTTTTAACACTGCACTCGGCAATATTCCAGCTACATGTATATGGTGGTGGTCTGTGAATAATTGAGTCTGGACCAGACAATCCAGAGATAAACAACAATGTGATTGTGTATAAGTAACAGTATGTTTTTCATCCCAGCAGGGCATACATTTCCACAGCTGCAGGGAAAAGTGAGATAAGAATTTTTAATTATTTCATGCCGGAATATATCTTCAGAGCAGGTCAGAGATGGGACGAGAAAACAGACAAACTAATGTGTACTGGGTGGCCGTTGGTCATCATCCCTAGATGCCATTGATCATCACTCATGCTACTAACAACTATATTTCATACGTGATCATGGCATCGATTACCTGACATGCATAAAACAGAAACAGAGGGGAATGTGAAGTCCTTGAAAGGCATTTAGTAGTTGGATGAAGATGAATACAGGACACGTTTTTATGGATAACAACTTCTTTTTTAAGTCTGTACGCATCGTTTCAGAACTAATTCTTAGTAAGTCTTGAAGGAGCAAGAATTAGCTCTAAAGTGAAACGTCATATAAAGAATACAAAAGAAGTTGTTATCCATAATAATGTGTCATGTATTCATGTTCGTCCAACTTGCTTCTGTTTAATGCATGTCATGTCATCCATGCTATAATCACGTATAAAATACCGTTGTTAAAAGCATGGGTAATGATCGATAGCATCAGGTGGGAATATGTTTAGACTATTATCCTTTGTTCCATGGAATATTGGAGTTTCTTTTGAACCCTAACTTTGATAGTTTTCATACTTATCACTGGTTTGTTACTGATTGGAAATTTTATGTCCAACTGTACGTGGGCTTTCAATGGGCATTTGTGCTTTGAAGGAAGAGGATATAAGACTAAACAGGAATTTCTGTGTCAGAATGTGTGAGTGTGTGATATGTCGAGACGATTCAGAGACATTGTATGGCGTTCTATATTCATGTATGACACAGTATGTCATGGGGCGGGGGGCACTTTGTGTTGCATGGAGGTGAGAGTTGTTGTGTTGTGTGTCGTGGTATGGGAGAATTACGGTGGTGGTGACAATATCCTCATGCATATTTCATGTTTCTTTGCTCTCTGAATGCCCCTCTTCACGTTTCTCCATGAGAACGTGGAAGAGTGTAAATTATGGGTGTAACAGTAAGCCATATGTCTGTTATGTCATTGCAGATAAACTTTGGAAATTAAAACTTGTGTTTTACAGGAATCAGTATGTCAGTCACATCACAGCAGGTGCCCTATTTTAGATAGTGGCAAAGCTTTGAAGTCCCACATGCCCATTTGTGTCATGCAGTTCATATAATCAAATGTTTAATAAAACCCATTAATTTCCACAGATGACAGATGGCAGGTATAAAGGTTTTTTGTAAGAGACTATCGGACAAAAAATATCTTTCAGTACTTTTTGAAAGTGGGCATTGATGTTAACTCAAGGAGAAAATGGGCTGCCACTTATAATCATGATAATATACTTAATGAAATAAAAATGACACACCTGTCCCAGAGATTTATTGTTAAGTTTCTCAGTGTCACACCTGTTATGTAACTTTGCTGTCCATAAGATGTTCATTAAGCTTGTGTGTAGTGGTTGGAGTCCTGCTTGCTCAATGGTTTTTTAAACCCAGAGTAACTCTTAATGTTAACAATTTTTTAGCTTTGATACCTCAGTTGACCATGATAGATGTCATTACTTCCTCGTTCAGAGGATCAGTTACGTCAGGAATGTACACACCCAAGCTGCCTGTGGGATACTAGGAGTTACAGTTACATTACCATGTCCTACCAGGTACCCATTTAATGTTGGGTGAACAGAGACATGTTTAGAACTAAGTGTCTTTCCATAGAAGATTCCACATGTTTCATATGCTTAAGTGACGGGAAGGACCAAACAAGGTCGCCCATCCAAGTGCTCTGCAATCTTGCTTAACATCACCTGAATTGTGAACTGTGTGCAGCAGACAAATGAAGTATGACATGTACTTACTTATGTCCTGTTACAGAATTTATTGTTTCTCAGTATTATAAGTGAAACAAAACATATCGATAAAAAAATGAATGTTTGGAACGTGTGTACTCTATTGAGAAAATATACATGTGAAAATGTTAATCTATTTAAGTTATAAAAGTGATAGTTCATTTGGACTGTTTACTGTCTTTCAATTGCATTTTTCTAAGTGAACTAAGAGAAAGTGAACCTTTTTCTACTTCCAAGACCATCAATTTACATATGACTGCAATAACTCTCTCACAATTGAATCAGTATGTTTAAGTTACTGTAAATGACTTCAAGAACAGTACCTACATAAGTATCTGATATTGTCTAAGACTTTCATGAGGAGGAACTGTTTTGCTACTAAGCCATTGGAATAGTTTTAGTTTACTTGTTTAGTTCACTTGTAGACAGGGGCGGTAGGGTAGCCTTGTTGAGGTTAAAGTGTTCACTCGTCACACCAAAGACCCAGGTTCGTTTCCCCATATGAGATCCGGTTTCGAGTTGATCTTCAGTAACCCACGCTTGTCGTAAGAGGCCACTAACAGGATCGGATGGTCAGGCTCGCTGACTTGGTTGACACATGTCATCATATCCCAATTGTGTAGATCGATGCTCATGCTGTTGATCACTGGATTGTCTTTCCAGACTCGATTATTTACAGACCGCCGCATGTATCTGCAATATTGCTGAGTGCGGCATAAAACTAAACTCACTCACTCACTCACTCACCTGTAAGTAAATTTAGCTGGATTTTTCTGCATTAAAGGGTTGCTGTCATTGGGATGGTTTGGTGGGTGAGGTGATGGAAGGTCAGGAGGTGGTGTGGTGGGTGAGGTGTCAGAGGATATGGAACAGTGGGGTCATTAAGGTGGTGGTGTGCCAGGGGATATGGGTTAGTGGGGTTGGGTGCCAGAAGGTCAGGACAGTGGGGTCATTAAGGTGGTGTGATTGGGTGATTGGACAGGAGTTTTGAATAGTGGGGTCATAGGCAGGGATGTAATGGGGTATTGGCAAGTGTGGGATGATTTCAAGATATCAGTGTCAGAAGTTAGGGTTGATGAGATTTGTTATCTAGTGTTTGAATCTAGGGTTCCATCTCAATCTTTAAGTTAACATCAGAGTATGATAAGGACACCTTGACTTTCATGCTAAATTTCACACAGTAGCATGTTGATGATGAAAGGTTAATGTTTTCTCTTTGCCCCATTATGATGTGTATGCCTGATGTGTGGTGTGTCAACGCCACAGTGAACAATAAACAAAGCATGCATTGTATCTCTCAGGTTATGTATCCTTTATAAAGTGGTTGATAGATGGTTTGGCTTTTGGGGATTACTTGAGAAAATCTACATTTGTGAAAACTTCCTGCACTTTGATATGCACATTGATATCTAATCAGTATGTGAGAATGGTTTTACTCCACATTTAGCAATATTCCAGCATTATTACAGAGGGTGACACTTGAATGAGCTTCACAAATTGTACCTGTGTAGGGATTCAAACCCAAAACTTCAGTGTGACGAGCAATAGATTTAACCATTAGGCTACCCAACTTCCCTGATGTATAATAAACAACATTGTAATTCTTAACTCTAATGTGGAAAAAAATAATACATGTACAATTGATATAAATATTGGTCTCCAAAGTATTTTAAACACAGTGTTGTGAAAAAAGATTAAAATATGGTAGGTATTTTGTTGCTATGACAATGAAAATAAAATGCTGTAGGAATTATTATTATTCATTCAGTAAGGTAATCTGGATTATTGGTTTTGGCATCATGGTTCCATCTGTGTGAGATGTGTTCAATTGTGAATGCATAGAAAGAGGAATGAACATGTTTATAACATTTATATCGGCAATGACAGTTGACAACAGCAAGCATGTGGGTGCTGTTATGCTTGTCAACAACTATGACTGCTAGAGGCACACCTTGAATATAATTATAAAACAGACATGGACAGTACCTGATATCAGTTGAAGAATTCCGCAGAAGATGAAGACAGCTGTTTTCTTGAAGCAAAAGAAAAGTAGAAGGGCTGCAACCGTTATCAGCATGAGCAGAGCGGAAACACCTGCAAAAAATGTGGTCGCCTTGAAGGAGTCGTTGAGGATGGTGTTGAAGTCGATGAAGGTGCCGCTGCAGACGTAGATGGCATTGGTTTGGTCAGGGTAGCAGTAGGAGTAAGCACCAACATGACCGTATCCGAAGCTTTCTGGGGTATCACCTATCCACTGGGGCTGAATAAACGCCACAAGGTTGAGAATACACCAGATGATGGACAGAAGGCCCCATAGAACACAGATTGCTCGGTATTCCTTCATATACCGAAAATAATAAAACTTGGCTGTCTCCGGGTTGAACTTGGGGTCCATAGTGGACAGGTGGTGCACTGGTCAGTCAGAGACAGGTCACTCAATGGCAAAAGACGGACTGAATTGCTAAAATGTATGGCCTAGGGTGAGGCACTGGTAGAGCTTGTTTCAGTATTATGTTGTAGTAAGCTTGTCGACTGACTCAAATATAGCCAAACCTGTCCAGCAGGTTTCCACGACTCTTGCTTCTGCTTGTGGGCTGTCAATGAAGGCAGGGCTATAAATAGGTGTATGGGACTAACGATGTTGATATTCACAGGTAGCGTTATAGACCATAGCCACCAGGCGTATATATACGCCTTGACAATCAGGTGTGGAGAGGTTTGTCCTCATTGAAAAAGTGGCGGGAATGTCATCTGGCACATGTTGTGTCTGTGATTGTAGCTAGATACACAAGGCATCGTGGTAATAAGGAGAAGGTAGACCTGGAGGAGCATGTGCTTCTTTTAATCACAAGGCTTGTTTTTATTTTAACTTTGTACAAGGGACAGGTTATTTGCAGTTTAATCTTAGTTTACTTTCAATAGGAGAAACTGTAATAATTAACTACCTGGATTAATCCCTATGGTTAATTCATTATGTTGCCATGGTAGTTTAGTTATTTTGAAAACATGACACAGTTACAAAATAAGTCTGAACTCTAAGAACATGTTCAGACAATTTTAGATAATATATTCACTAAACTATTACCTCTATCCTTTCCAATTTTATGCAAAATTTAGCAAAATGGGATTGACAAGTATAGTCTTCCTTTCTTGTTAGAACAAACCTGGTAAAACAAATTGCAAAAAAACAAATCCAAAACAGATTATTCTAAATGTAATTTCATAAATATAATATGCCTATTGGGATTTTTTTTTTAAGTTTTCTTTTTCAATATTTTAGGATATATATTTTTAATAAAATTAACTTCAGATAAGCCCAGACAACCTATGCTGACCAGGAAAATCTGTTACCATGGTTACATGTCATCTTGTCCTTGCCTTATAAAATGTCTTTCAGATAAATGCTACTGTATAGTATGTCCATTACTACATAAATCAAGTATTTGATTTTATGTCAACAGTATTGTCAGTAATGCCACTAATATGTGACATAGGCTTTGGTGACAAAAGGGCACACATGCAGACTAGGGACATAGTAACACAAACCTGCTTTCCTAGTCTTTGTTTGTATAAGACAGTAGTTTTAGTATAATCCTGTTAATTCCATTGGTATTGTTACATTGTTACCTATTGTTCCAGCTGCCAAGTAAAACAAACATAATGGTGCTAATTGGGTATGTTATACGGGTGTTATGCAACATTGGATAACACTTGATTTGGCTATTATGTTTAAGACTTATTAGACACTTAACTTTTACCATGACTCTCATAGTTCAACTTAAAACACTTGTGTATTTATTATAGGAATTTATAGGAATATAAACGACCAGAAACCGATGTTAAACTAGATAGATTGGGTGGTTTGACTTGCTGTTTTAGTTGATTGCTTGACCTTGTATCCCAGGTGCATGGATCAGTGCGCACAATGATCACTAGATTATCTGGTACAGACTGCTCTCATAATGGAATATAACAAACCAAATCATAGTGGAAATAGGCATGCTTATAGTCAGGTGTTATAACTTACACATACTAATTATATATACAGTGAGTAGGGTTTTACGCTGCTTTTAGCAATATTCCAGCAATATCATGGTGGGGACACCAGAAATGGGTTTCACACAATGATAAATAGAACTGTTGAATTCGATTTACGACTTGCTGTAAACATGTGTATGATTAATTGCTCAGAAAGATAGAACAATTGAATTATTAACTAATGGCCATACCTGTTTGTACTGCCCCTGAAATGAATGCATCTGGAGTAGGCTATGGATAGAGTTTGGCTAGTGAGAAGTATAAGTGACTCAGTTAAGGTGTTATGTTGCAATGGCAAAGGTTTTATGGCAGTCAGAAATCAATGAGAACAACGTTTAATAGCATATAGTGATCTAAACATACATCAACATTATATTATATATGCATTCAAAGTGTCATGTATTCATGCTCTTCCCACTTCTAGATGCCTATCTATTTATTTGGTAATGTACATCAAAAGCCTTGTCCAGCATCTGTAGGGTGTTCTGGATGGCATCACAGTTTGACTGGCTTCCATTGGTTTTCAATTCATTAAAGAAGACAACATATTTCAGCTGATGAATATAAAAGGCCTAAATACTGTACCATATTCTGTACTCTAAATGTACTCTTAAGGTTTTCCAGTACTCCTATATTGAAAAAATATCTGTAGCCCTGATGAGTCAATAATTTCCAAGTTTGGTAATAGTTGGTTGGTTTGTTGTTTAATGCTGCACTCAGGAATATTCTAGCTATTTGGTGGCAATCTGTAAATAATCCAGTCTGGACCAGACAATCCAGTGATAAGCATCATGAGCATTGACCTATACCATTGGGATACGATGACACGTGTCAACCAAGTCAGCGAGCCTGACCACCCGATCCTATTAGTTGCCTCTTACGATAAGCATGGGTTACTGAAGACCAATTCTAACCTGAATCTTCACTGGTATTTGGAAATATATATATATCCAAAAACTGATTTTATGGGTTGTTACAGGTATCTTGTATTACACTGGTACTGAATTGTGTCCATAAAATAGAAAGAGGTTTAAATGCTTAGTTTTATATTATTGCACTTGATGCTGTCTCAAAATAGAAAGTTCAAATGTCTTTGAAAATATATTTTTCCACTTTTTTATTATCTTTACATGATAGCTCTTTTACATATTTGTCATCCAGGTTAGTTAGAAATGCTAAATAAGTATCTCCAGAGACACTAGCCATATTTGCTACAAGAAATACTATGCGATCTAATACAGTGAGTTGACTGGAGAACTGGTAAAACCAGCTTTAAAGGCAACTCACTCACTCTTGATTTCCATGACGTTAGAGGGCAGTGGAGTAGCTTAGTGGTTAAAGCGCTTGCTTGTCATGCTGAAGACCCAAAGACAATGTGTGAATCCCATTTCTAGTGTCCCCCGCCATGATATTTCTGGAATATAGCTAAAAGTATCGTAAAACCAAACTCACTCACTCATTCATAACATAAGTCTCTGATACTATGGTTACACATTCTGCAACCAGTCTCAGTGAAAGATCTCACCACAAGTTTAGTTCTTTGTCATCCAGCCTCTGTTACTATGGTTTCACATTATGAAACCATCCTTAATAAAGGATCTCAACATGAGTTTGGAGTTTAGTTCTTTGTCATTGAGCCTGTTACTGTGGTTGCACATGAAACCAGTTTCGGGGAAGGATCTCACCACAAGTTTAATTCTTTGTCAACAAGCCTATGTTACTATGGTTACACATGAATCAGTCTCGTCAAAGAGCCTCACCACAAGTTTAGTTCTTTGTCATCAAGCTTATGTCACTATGGTTACACATGAAACCAGCCTCAGGGAAGGATCTCACCACAAGTTTAGTTCTTTGTCACAGATAATTGATCAGATTTAATGCGTATAATCTCTAGACTATTGCCTCCATTGACATAGAATATTTTCATTAAGATTTTTGTCTTTTTCCAGATTAAAGGTCTGCCTGTAAAATGCCAGTTGAGTGTGAGGGCTACAGCTGGGGTCACGACCCTGCTGACCTTGAAAATCTCAGGAAGCGAACTCCATGCAGATCATCACAGATTGAAACTCTTCTACAGCTCTTTGGTGAAGTAAGCAAATTGTTTAAACACTTTTGAAGCTTGAAGCATATTAAGGTCACCAGCTTGAAAGGACAAGTAAATTATGTACTGTTTCCCTTTCGACTCTTGAGATTATATGCCCTGGTTAGAATTACCTTCCTTGCCGATCTTGGCTGGTATTTTATAGTTGTTATGGCTGGACTAACCGGTTTGGGCAATTTTATCACAATCATGTAACAAATTCAATATCTGGTTAGATTTGCAAAGCATGTGTATTTTTCTAATCTTTTCATGTTTTTAATCAAGGGGCTCAAGTACTTCAATGCACTTCACGAGATAAAATCAATCACAATACAGATCTTAATAATCGGAATGTCTGGACCAGCATTGACATTCCATTTGAAACAGATGCATGTGATATGGTAGGTGGCATCTGATTGGCCTGTGGGAGGGACATAGAAGGAACAAAACTTGTAATAACCATCGGTGGCGCTCTGATCAAACCACAAAATGCCAACCTAGTTCAACAAGACTTTTGTCTTCAGTTACCTTTATGGGCTCAGAAAGATGGGTTAGGAATAGTCCTCAACTCGGGCATTGCTTGCAGTAAGAGGCAGCTAAGGTGGATTGGTCGGTCAGATTGCTTGCAGTAAGAGGCAGCTAAGGTGGATTGGTCGGTCAGACTTGTGGATTGTATGTGACAGGACAAAGCTCATGGGATCAGTCACTGGTTTCTTTTGCTCTCAAGGCCCCTGTGATATGGCAGGATGTCCATGAGGGCTGTGTAGGGCAGAAACACATTGAAACCATACAGCAATTGATGGCTGAAGAAAGACATATGGATGTTTACAATTTGCAGGCTGCTCACTACACTCCCCCAGCTCTGTTTGTGTACGGACATACGGCCACTGGCAAGTCCTGCATAGTCAACGGCATCCTCACATCACTGAAGGTGAGGAGGAACCATTGTCTTGCTTGTAGTTGTATTTGATATAAGGCACGAAAGGGAAGAAATTTGTGTTTTAACCATAATAATAGTAAAACATTCAGAATTAGGTGCACCTTCATTTAAAGACATCATGGACCGTGAGTCACCTCTTATTTTTCAAAACTGAACATTAGGATGATATGAGTACCAAAAGCACTTGTTCAGTTTAGCAGAGTTCCAGATTTTACTGCACATTTTTCAATTCAGAATCACCTGTTTTGTTTTAGTTAATTAACTGTCTGTACAATTTTACAAATAATTGTATCTATATTTTTACCTTTTACTTATTTGGTGATGGTTTGAACATTTGTGTTTGAAGAGTTATCTCCCTTGGTCCTTATGCCTCACAAGATATTAGCATGTATCAATACAGCACAATTTGCCAGTTTTGTTTTAGTATGTTTGCTAGTGACTATCAACAAAGTGTATTTTGCTTTAATATACAATATGGACAGGGTTTATGTTGAATGGTTGCCACGATTAGGTTTTAGTTAAACTATAATTTCCCCTATTTGTCTGTCCCCAGCTTCCCCATGTCTCTGTGAACTGTGTGGAATGCTACAATTCACGCTTCCTGTATGAGCACATCCTCAACAACCTCCCCTCCTCCGACACCAACACACGCTGTGACAACATGAACGACTTTGTTCGTCTCCTGCAGCAGGGAGTACGAGAATCTCAACTCCAAGATCAGACAGTCTACATTGTGAGTTGAGTTCATGTGGTGAACGTTGCTTTATCTGATCATAGGGTGACCTTTCTCATGAGCCAAGTGGGGACTCTGGGGCAGAAAAGGACCCCAGTACCCCATGTTTGTCTCCGTATGTTGTTGTTGTTGATGATTCAAGAGTCAGAAAGTACCTGTACATCTAGTTCTGTTCACCACATGAAACTTGGCATAAAAAGTTTCATCAATTTTTTGTAAAATGTGCGATGATAAAAAATGTGTCAAATAAACTAATGAGATTTAAATCCCATGTGTTTGTGTTGCATGAATACAGTGAATGAATCATGACCCCCTGATGTGTTATGTTTTTCAGGTGTTAGACAAGGCTGAGAGACTGCGCGACATGGAAGCAAATATCCTGCCAAGTTTTCTGCGGCTACAGGAATTGGTAGGTTTACTAATGAAGGAAGTTATTCAAAGTTATTCACCAAATATGACTGTGGGTTCGATCCTGGGCTCGATCCCGGGTTCTCCCTGATTGTTATTCTCCTAGGTTTGTTGGCTCCATACCCATGTTTGTGGTTTTCATGAAAAGGGTAAGTAGTAGACAGAGTGAGGCTTCTGGACCAGGGTAATCTAAAGCTTCATTTAATAGATAAAGCCTTAGTTGGACCCTTCCCATTACCCTCTACTACAGAGCTTTATTTCATAAAATAAGCAAAATGTCCCAAAGAAATGTATTCCCCAAGGGGAATTGTGCCTCTATCACACGAAACGGCGGGATACGAACTCCACATACACAGCTTGCGTAGACTATACATAATGGGTCGACTGACCTACCGCGGACTTAGCTGAAGTAGGTCAGTTTAACGGGTAGATCATGCGCACCCACGCATCACGTGACACGTTGTCTGGAATCAATAATTCCTGTCTGGCCCATCCATCATAGTGCATTTTTCATTTTATCTATGTTAACATGTCGCTATGTCACGTTGACCTCAACGAAACAGTTTAATGTAAATCGTCTGTTATATTTTTGGTGTTCGTTATAAAGGCTTGTCGGGCTTTTTGTACTCCCTGTTCTATGTACTTTTTTTTCTCGGCTTCGCTAATAGTAGTACTTTTACGGGACTTGGACTGAATATCTTGTTTCATTTTGTTATATTTTGTGATTTCTGATAGCACCAAACGAAACTCTTCCTCAGAGATTTTAGAGTCTGTGAGCGCGGTGGAAATACGGTCGTCTATCGTGTTTAACTTTGCTTCGCCAGAATCCTGATCTCATCATGCTTCAATGCCTTACGATGCAGTCTGCGTGATGTGTATTTAAGTATCAACCCTAACACTCCTGTCACTCCAGCCGTTATTTCAAGTCCCAGCACTATGGGTGCGGCCACGATGGTGGTCAACAACCCAACACCTGTCACTCCTAGACCCATGCTGGTTGTCATAAGGGTGGTATCAACACCATCCACGACATTGAAAACCCTATGGTATTTCTTATATAATGCTTTACGCTTATCGCGGTCTTGTTCCAGTTGACGTTTTACATCACATAACTGCCTCAAACGAAACCCGTCTACAGTTTCCAGGGTCTTCGCTACTTCATCTATGCCTGGATACAGTCCCATCCTATAATATATATTACAAAAGATATTTTAATTGGGCATCACTTAATAGTTGGCCAACGCATCTGAGGCTTATAAAACTTAGATTCTCGTATGTGTAGATACGGGAAGGGTCAATAGGTAACTTTTGGTCTATCTCAACATCATAGCAGTTTATTATGGGGGTAGTAATCCCTGTTGGGAGTCCCCCAATCGTGATCAATTTAATATGCAAGATAAAAAACCTGATGTTATGGGGTCATTACCCCAACGTATTGTTACACCAGGTAAAGTTCCAAGTTTGGGGATGGGTCAAGGTCATCCAAATCAAACTTATCCTTGTAACCGACTTCTACGATGAGTGTGGAGTTTGTTTCCATACCCCTAACCCCTATTATGGAATGATGGTGGTGGGTGGCTATTAACTGAGACTTCCTGGCTGAAATTAACAGGGTGTCCCTAGGCCAATATTCAGAGTTAGAAACTATCATCCTTTCAGTTGGAATGAAAGACGTGAGCAAGGTCCGTTGTTCCTAATTTCAGAGACATAACCATCTTTGTCTAGTGAGATATAAGGTGCGGTGGTGGTCACGCTTTGATCACCCATTTAGGTTCTTTTAAGACTGCCAGGTTCTGGCCGTGATGTACACAATCTCGTTGTTAAATAATAGGGACGTGTATGAGGTGTTGTTATTACCAGGCTTATCAAATCCCTCCGTGTCCCCTAGATCGCTAAGCCGTAAAGTGTTGGGGTGAAGCCAAGACATTGTTATAATACTATTATGATATAATTTTCCAACTAGTGTTATGGTACTAGTTCAGGGATATAGCTCAATCCCATAATATATTTTAATTGGGTTTCATTCAACCTTTGATTAATGTACTTAAAGCCGCAATACTTAGATTAACGCGGTGTGTAAAAAGCCGGGTCTCAGCTCTACTTCCCCATTAAGGAGACGCAACCCCATCAAGGGTATTGGTACAGGGTCAAGCTCGATACCTTAATAATACAACAACGTTGGTTATTACACCTGGCTTCCCAACCTATCAGCATATCATCTATAATTTTAATATACCTTCTAGTCAAACTTATATCCCTCGAGATAGACGCCTTCTTATGAGGAATGTGAAGTTTTCCGCCGACATTTCTAAAGACCTCTTGGTAATCGAAGTAATTTGATCTCTGTCTTGACCGGCCCCACTGGAAGCTAACATGTTGCCCGAGTGGTCTGGTATTGGTATGACTTGTATTATTAGATTCGGAACTAACGATCCTATAATCATACCGTTGTTCCTAATCTCGGAGATAGTATTCTTTTGTTTCCAGGGAGATATAAGGTGAGGTGAGGGTTAAGTTGACTAACCATTCAGGCTCTTTAAAATCTGATAACGACACTTCACCATACACGTTGTCTCTTCAAGTGCAGGATGTATAAGGTGTCTTCCTCACCAGGCTGATCGAATCCCCTCCTTCGTCCCCTAAGCTCGTTAATCGTAGTGTTGGGGCTTAATCCAAGACATTGCTATATTATTACGCAGATAATTTCCAACTGGTTTTCTGATAATAGTTCAGGGTGCACTTCACCCCCATGAAGTGTATGTTGTCAGGTAGGAATATCTTGGTTAGTGATATAGTGTCTCCACCTACCACGGTGACACCCTGCAGACTGGTTTTGGAGTCGACACCCACCCGCATCGCAAGACGAACGCAGCAAACGTGATACTGTTGTTGTTTCCACCGAGTTTGAACTCCCCTTCACGATCTCTTACATCATTCCGCCGATGGTTCCCTAGGTAGACTTTGATGACCAGTGTTGAGTTCCGCTGGGTAGACTCTCCAGGATCCTGACCACACCTTCTCAATTCAGACACCAACTGTAATACCACGCTTTGCATCCCCGGCTTTACTCGATAGCATGTGGGCTGCCATACTGGCGAGCATGCCGATGACTACGCCACGCCCTCTGAGTCGGGATGTAAGCCACGAGCAGGGTTCCGTTGTTCACCACTTTCGTTTTAGGTGGTTGTCTTTGTTATCCGTCAGAACACGAGGGGGGAGCCGAAGTCTAATATTGAGAAACCAGTCGACTTTACCTCGGTAATAACACCTACTTGTCATCATCGTGAAAACGAAAGGTGATATGGTTTGTTTCGGGGCGACGGTAGTGCTCTCAACATCGTTAAGTCAACAGTTTGCCTCCTCGTGATGGGTATATCATCCAGTTATCATCCCTCGTGGTGACAAGGGTGTAATTTAGTGTTGATACCGCCTTTGAGGTATCTACTATATCGCTTTGTGGTTGCTAGTACCAATCGGAAACTTCAACGCTTTTATAAATGCTGTTTTTAAGTTGCAAGCATGACACTTTACCATCTACTCCGGGTCGTTTAATCCATGGTGGTCCCCCGGATCGAGATCCCCACATTGATGCATTTTTCAACTTCATTCTGACCTTGCGCTGCTTGGTCATTTTATGTGCAGCGCTACGCTTCGAGGTATCCTATATTCAATGATTAAGATTTACATCTAACAATCGATATTATCAGCTCAGGGATGTTGTCCTGGGTTAACCCTCCTTATATTGCCATCGCTGAAAAAACGCACTGCTCCTACCGCCGTTGTATTTCTTCCGCTTTAACCGGGTACGGCTCTCAGTATAGCTGCTGAAGGGTGGCCTCTTGAATATTGTCCGTTGTGCTAACCTGGTTGAGATGAATGCACAGCTCTCGGCACGGGTACTAAGTCGGGTAACTTAGTGCCTGTATGTAGTCGCTGGTTTTATCTCTTCAGGCTGTATACCGAAGTGTCCCTCGCCAGTGGTCGAATCGAGCCCTCAAGAGTTTCTTCCCTGTTGATTAACAACACCACTGTGCCGCTTTGAGTCGCTCATCTTGAGTTCGCTCCCAAATGGTTTGAATACCTGCCGCTTAGAGAGCACTACCGCCAGTGTAAACTAGTCAATTATCTCTGTTGCTAGCCACCTACGAACAGTTTTATTGTTGCTTAGCGCTGATGTTAGGGTCCATCGTGGTAGGTAGGTTATATCGCGATTGTGCGCTACTTCGAGTTGACCCGACGACGGTTATCGATCGCTATGCCAGCTGAACGGGCCTCGGCCATTGCTATTCCTGGAGGTTATGTACGCTACGTTATATGTTCCTCATTATATAATAGTTTTAAAACATGAAGATCGTGGGTCGCTGATGGATTGTATTTACCAGTTCCAGTTCATAGATGTATTCGAGTAAAGCATAAGTTTCGTGACTAACGTTAAGATAGTGCACGCTTTGGTTCAACAACCCGATGCAGTTCTGGCAGAATCAACTCAACTTCACTGCGGTGGTGCGGCTTACAACGGGTGTGGTGTATCCGACACTGGCGCTGGACCGCTGAGTCAGTCTGTGTTCACGCTTTCACGCGTACTACCAGGTCAGGCGTGATCCTCAAAGAGATCTGGGGCTACCCACCTCACAAGAAAAAGCGCGGAATGCAGTAAACAAACCAATACGATAGACGGCCTACTTAACGTATTTGCAAATCTAATTCGAATCGACACTAAAACGGATTACGCTTGCCGACCGAACTAATGGATTGGGTATTCCTATTGTTCATACAACATGCCCCTCGGAAGCCAGCGGTGAAGTTGAAAGAATGGGGTAGTGAAACGTGATGCTAATGCTTACGCCACAACAACAAACGAAAGTGGATGAACCCGCTACATGGCATTCGACGACAGCAAGGATTACCGAAGTTTGAGGTTCGAGCAGGGTGGGTGGATTGGAAAAAATCATGTTGGAATCGAAGGGTATACTTCGCGCCGGACCGAACGCTTGAATGACT